TTCAACTGTATTTAGTAGTTTTTTATTTAGCAGTGATGTCATTGCACTGCCAGGGCAGTCACCTTGCCGTATTGCGCCTGGGTGCGACCGGTGCTTTTCTCGGTGCTCTGCCGGGCCCCCGACTTTCACTTTTAGTTACGCCCCCTGTCGGGCGATGCTCGGCACTTTCTTGCGGGCTACCGTGCCCCCGGTTCGAGTGCCGGTCTGATGGAGGCAGCTCCAACTGGGTGGCTGCCGCCCTAGCTCCTACCAGCGGCCGCATCCACTGATCTTTGAGTTGTCAGCCCACTTGTTAAACGGTTCTATTGTCGACGGTCTCAGGGAAGGTGTACCACCCGAGTGGCGATAGTGTAACGGTTCGCGCTTTATTGTATTCGGGTTCAAACGCGGTGTAGCCTCCAATTGGTTAGTGGGGAGACTAGGGCTTATCTGGAGCTTTGAAAGTTTAGAAAAAAAAATTTTTGCTTTGGTTTCACGCGAAATGTTATGTTCATTGTAGCGATGTTGTTCGTTGTAGTTATGTTAGTTGTAACGGTCAATTTTTGCTGTAGTTTTTCCGCGAAATGTTTCCTAGTTATATCGGTAATTTTTTTTGCTTGCTTTTCTACGAAATGTTTCATAGTGTGTTATCGGTTGTAGGTACAAAGGTGAATTTGAAATGCCTTTTGGATGCGTGTACCTATGTTTTTGTAACTATATGGATCATTATGTTTGTTGTTGAATAGAACATTGAAATTGAGTAACTATTTGTGCCAAAGGAAATGAGAATTAATCTTACTTTTGTTATCACATTTTGTTGGCATTGTCGGAGATATTTGTTTTGGAAAATATGGTTGCTCCAATAATGGAATGGTTGTCTTATGTTTGTTGTTTGTTTAATTTATCTGTTTGATTAATGCGCACCGGGCAATAAGTTTGCTGTAGTTTGTTTCTAGGTTGCATAGTAGTTTGAGCATTGATGCTTTGAACTGCATGTTTGTAAAAGCTACTCTTAAAGTGTGATGGTTACGTGCGAAGCGATCGGCTGCGTGACAGGCGCCTCTTATTGATTGTCTCTCGTGCTTTAAATGACAAGAGGTCCCTTTAAGTTTGAAACGCTAGGAATATGTGACCCGAGAGGAGATCGCTTCATGTTGTATATAGATTAATTGTGCGCGTACACCTATCGAGTAGAATATGAGTAGAAATTGGATGTGTTTAACGATTGTTGGTAGAGCTTACTGTCAGTTTGTGACATTTTACATTTTTTCGAAGTAGCTCTTAAATTTTTTTACTTTGTAGTTTTGTTCTTGTGTTTTTTTATTGTTTTTCTTGTGTTTTATTATTGTGCTTGGTTTCTGGTTCCTCACCATCATCATCACATTGCGGTTAATTTGCAGCGGTAGTTTTGGAATTTGTCTGGCCGACGCACTATTCGGAGCGTCACTCTTGGGAACATACTTTGTGGTAGATTGAGGGCCACCATACCGCAACCGATGATGGGTGACTTACCACCCGACCACGTCGAGTCCATCAGCCCATCTACTGGAGTCGGAACCGACTTTGCTGGCCCCCCTCCTCGTCAAGTCCTCCGACTTACGCCACGCGCGTTCACATCGGGCCTTTTTGGCTTTTCGTATGCCTCGCCACTAGGGCCGTTCGCTTGAAACTTGCAAGCGCCCTCAGCACTGAAGTCTTGTGGCCACGCTGGACCGCTTCTTATCGCGTTGCGGTTGCCGGACCGGATCCGATCGGATTGAGGAACGGATTGTAGGAGCACTGGTAGATATTTGAAGGAGGTCGTTGAATTTCTGTCCTGCAAAAAGACTTATTGGTTGGCTGGGATGTCCGGGAAGGGCATCCAGGGGAAATTCGACTCTTCGGCTTGCCCACTCTGAGGCCGTGATGTGAGGCGGTGGTTGGCGTTGCAAGAGCGCATCTCCGTCGCGTTAGTGGCCGAGGTCTTGGTTGGAGATTCGGTCTTGCAGCGTGCCGTCGCGTCCCTATCCCGGTTGCCAATTTACTCGCGGACATAGGTCCCTATGTCCGGGACGGGGGTTTGCTTACGCCCGATTGTCTTATCTCGAGCGGAGTGAAAGGACGGTTAGCGAGGCGCGGGAGGAGGAGGCTAGCTGCATAATTCGCGCAGCGCGGTCGCCCTGTCTGCATCGAGCCGAGCTGTGGGAAGGTCAGCGGCGCAGCCGGGCTGCACCCGGTCCGCCGCGAGGCTGCGAGCATCAGCAGGCGCGGCGCCCGCGCCGGTGCGCCGGCCGGCGTTCGCGGGTCGTTGATAACGATTTAATATAACCTAGACCGCCTCGAATTTTAGTGTCTATTTTGTTCGCGTTACGTGACAGACGACGGCTAGGAATTTGTAGTGGTTAAAGGACCTTTTATGCAGTTAATTGAATCGACGCGGTGGTAGTTTATGCTACGTTGGCCTGTGACATTGAACTTTGACCAGCCGTCCCTGAGTTGTACCGCGTGTCTCGGTTAAACGTTGTTGGACTTGATTGGATTAACTTGAAGATAATTAATTGGACAATAAATAATAAGTGATAAACGAACATATTTTTCCTAGAAACGGAAGTGTTCTATGGCTTCATGCCCCTTAAGTGGATCCCATATTTGAAGAGAGGCGACGCCTTGGGATCCGCTGTTCTGCAACCAGCGGGGATGTCAGGTTACATATTGAACACGTACTGAACACGACTCACACACACCCACTATTCCGCCTGACTCTTCCTATGGTTAACCCTAATTCGACGGTAAACTGTAAGTTTTGTTTGGTTCTTCGTTAGCCGCTATAGTTTAATATTCCATAGGTCTTTGGACCCTCTCCTTGTCTATTCGTCGAGTTGGATTCCTGATGGGCCCGAGTCTGACGACCTTTGTCAGGGTAGCCTGGGGCAATAACAGTAATAATACGTATGAGTTCTTCCGAGTCGATATTACAAATGGGCATGCCTCAGGGCTCAATTCTCGGCCCCTTTTTGTTTTTTGTATGTATTAATATAAATTACCTTACATAAAAGGGAATAACCATGATATAGTATTATTTGCTGATGACATTTAATTAATTTTCAAATATAAACGGCAGTATGACGAAGTAAATAATGCTATATCTAAATTAGTAAATTGGCTTTATATTAATAATTTACATTTAAATGGCACTAAAACTAAATGTGTGAAATTCGTAACTCCGAATGTTAAGACAATGACCGACCTGGTAAGACATCCCAGGACAGAGGATTTTTTTCGAACCAGTGGTAAATAAAAAAAAGTGACTCGATAAGTATCATTTAAAATCTATATTGAATAAAAAAAGTTTCTATTTCATTTTCTGCCTCTTAACAATGCCAATAAACTTGCCTACTTTTTCATTCATTTATTTAGAACGAAGTTTAGCACACTTTGTAATGAATCGGTGTCCTGTGCATTAATTAGTGTAAACAGTGTCAGTCAATGTTCTTGATTTCTGCGGTACAAGTTCACTGTATCGTCTAACTGTGTAATGGCTTTTTGGTTAAATAAATATATTTCTATTTTATTTCTTTAAAATTATACCTGAACCTTATTTGAAGTGATAAATGAACTTACAGTCAACCTTGATAGTACCTAAACGACTAACAAAGGTTTTTTTAAATATTAGTGGGAGCAAACAAGCATGCGGCTCACCTAATGGTAAGTGACTACCGTCAAACGACTACAACACCAAGGAAATTGCAGGTAAGTTGCCGGTCTTTTAAACAGAGTATACGGCCCGGAAAAATCGTTGGTGATAACCGATTCAACAAGAAATTTGTGCGAGGAGGAAAATTTCTGGTAAATAGCACAGTGGTGGACTGCCAATAATACAGATGGTATAGATGGTATCGCGAGTTTTGTCACGATGTGCGATGGAAAAGCTAGCTAAAAATAAAGAAAGAAGGTTAAAGAAGACCTATGAAGACCGAGTTGGAATATCTCACAGTTTGTAACTATACTAGTTCCTATACTTTTCACCTTCAGACGAGAACAAAGCGGAGAAAGTACTGCTATTTGGCGGTAGTAATAGGTACGAGGGTGATACCTTCCTAGACGGACTTCTAGGAGGCAAATGAGTCATGTTCACTAGATCTGCAACCAGCTTCAGACAAAGAAGTTGGGCTGAGGAGGAGAGGCTGAGATTTCGTTGTCACCCTTTTTTTTTTTTTTTTTTTGCGGATGGAAAATCATCTAATGACCCCTTTCGCTCTGGGTGGAGCGTAAGGGAGTGTCAGACTTTTTACTGACTAAAAACCATCCGTGTTCCTTCAGTGCCCTTACGTTCCGGAGCCGCGGTATCTCTTTCGAACAGCCCGCAGCCCCGGCAGGCGTCGGCCCTTGCGGGCCCCTTCACGCTGCTGACAGCTCTTTGAGGCGCGCGTGGAACAAAACGCGCCGTCGACACGGCTTCGTTGTCACCCTGAGAACTACGTTTTAATACCTGATTATGATAGTCTTCTAAATATACTGATTGATAAAGTTTTTTCTATGAATGCTTCAAATTACTTCAGACTGGAACACAGGTCTACCATACCTTGCTTTGGTGTTATCTGCAGATAAAATGGTAGATAAAAATAGTTATAAGCTAAATTCTTGCGTAGGGGTTAAATAGTTGCGATTGAACGTCAAAACATAATATAAGATATAAAACTTTAAAAATGTTTACAACTCCTACCTCAAATAACATGCGATGCCGCTATAACTCCAAAGTTTATGAAAGAAATCTGCACAGGGAAATTAGAAGGGAAGCTAGTCGTAATTGTGGTGTTTGATATACAACCATATTCTTTTATAATATTATTTTGATTAAACTTTAATATCCTAAACAGATAATAAATTAAATGTTTTTGAAATAGTTATGGTTAAGATCGCATTGTTTTTTTGTAATATCTCTATATATTATAATAATCTATGTTTTGTTTATCGTAAGAATTTGTAATTAAATTTTGACTGAATTAAATTTTTTAGTTACCTTGAAATCTAAAATTGTAAATATGTCGTTTTTAACAGAATATTTCGATGAATACCGGCAGCATCCTATTAGGAAAACTAAACTGTGAGTATAATCTGTAAATAAATGTACACAGAATTATAAGCATATATAAATATACATATAAACATATCATAAACATAATATTTAACTAAATTATACCTACAGTCTACCTAATTTCAGAATCGGTACTAGAAATTTGATATAATTTAGTTTCTCACGAAATCTGCTGAACGATATGATAACCGAACCATCGCTTAAGAATTAAGTTTCTACCTGCAGAGTATAATATCTGATTATCTGTACAGATGTCGTCCAGAAAACCGCTGGGCAAAACTTGACCGCAAATGGCTGGACCTAAAAGTTGGCACGGAGGAGGTTGGTTACTCTACGTATTATATTATTTTATGTATCTTATCTCTATTTATCTCTTTATCTATCTTCCAGCGAATAGAAGTCTTCATCTAGAATTAGAAATATCCTGTTCCATATAGGTTTTCCATTGAGGTTTTGCCGTCACAACACTTGGTGCAGCGTTATTATGTCTGCGATACGAATACAATTTTACCACTGAGCAAGCATTTACCTTGTACCTCTTACTAATTTTTTATATGCAAGTAAAACCTAAGGAAGGTTTTTATTTCATAGAATAAGGCTGACAAACGAGCACACAGTCCACCTAATGGTAAGTGGACTGTATTGACTGAGGTCTATGTGAGTGAAGGTGTAGTAAACCTGGTGTTCCGGTCTGAAAAAAATAGAGAGCCAAGTATAATTATGAACTGTGAGGCATTCCAATATGGTCCTCATAGTCCTCAGATAATGTTCCTAATGGTCCTCAGATGTGATAATTCATCTTTAACCTACTTTCTTTGCATTTAGCTAGCCTTACCCCCCGCACATCCATACCATCTGGATGATTGACGGCCCATCACTGTACAATTTACCAGAAGTTTTCTTCCTCGCATAACTTTCCAGTGAAATCGACTACCACCAGCGATTTTTCCGGACCGAAACGATGTAGGGACTTTCAAGAAAGGAGCTTACCCTTTTTTTAAAAAGACTAAAGAGAATATATTATCTTTATTAACAAAACAATTTTTTTATTTCAGGCATGAATATCTTTAGGAACTTTGGTCCATAGAGATATAATAAATAGATCAGCTCGACTGGGCAAGGTCTAGTGCTCAGGGGCGACAAAGTGTTGTCTTTAGCATTTTGATTCTTAATCGCGGATCGATGTAGGTGTCGTCATGTCCATGAGTCAAACTTCACTTAATATCACATGAACTGCTTCATCGTTTATCATCATTACTTGAATAAAAATCTATGCTGCTTTGCAATGAATGAGCTTAACCGTGAAAGGACCACATTCTCACAGAATACCAACGTAAAATGTTATGTTATTTCTAAAGTGTTTGGCATTGTAAGTTGTGAAGTGAAAACAGCTATCTTTAGAATTAAAAGCAGCTGCTTTCACTGACTTTAGTTAATGCATTGTAGTCGTAACATCAAAGGGAGGGTCGGAGTCGCATTAGCGCTGATGATATGCTATGTATTTGACCGCGCATCGTTGTTCATCGAATCTGCCTATTCTTAGCAGTGGATGCCTCTTCTCTAATCCTTCATTTCAAAGACCTCTCCCATAGATTGTCTCATAGAGAGGAATTTACCATAGTTGCCACGCTTGGAAGACTGGTTGGCAACAACAGTGTTTTAATATTTTGAGTTCTAATCAGCGAGATGTTGCTGCCCATCTTCAGCTTTAGTTTCCTTCTGTCGCTTCTTACGACACCCACGGGACGATATGGGGTAGTGGGCATTCTTATACAGCCACTACACGACTCCCTACCTCATTAATCCTAATCTTGGTTTAAATATTAGACAATATGCGATTGTAGAACTCGTAGATTGCTTAGCAATCGCCGGACGTATATAGGAGCTCCGTTTGTAGCTCGCGGAGACCAATACCGTTACGGCAGACTGATAAAGTGATTTTAAATTATTTCAGAAAGCCTGGACAGAAGAGGAGATAGAGAAGTTCATTAAGGACACTATGAAAAGCATCCGTGGCCAGTCTACGTACTACAACGACTATTGCGCAAATTTATCACCCGGTGATTGAACCTGTACACTTTTATATCTGAAATTTCTTTAGTGTAATAAATTAAAGCAATTATTGTCTGTAGTCTTTGTAGTATCAAAATGTGGGCTCGCTGCGTAGTCGTGAACTTTTAGGTGTCATAATATTATTACTAATACTTCTTAAATATGTAGGATTTCTTGTGATGTTGTTTTGTCTTTTATGATAATGTCCACCAGATAAAATTTCGGTCACGGCGATCGGTTTCATTGGAGACTAGCCATTTGCGCAGAAGAGGACAAAGTTGCCCGGAAGTTTGCGCAAACACAGGTGTACTTTCTATTCCCTAACTCTCATTATCCGATGAGACGGCAACCCGGTAAGACCGGAGATCAGGCGCAGAACCAAAGGCTTTCTGAAACACGGGGTAAAACAGCGCCAACTTCCTAGATCCGGTCTGCTACTGAGAATTATGTCGGGAAACCCAATAATAGATTTTGTCCCGACTGGGAATTTGGGATCTTATGTACCTGCCTCGTTGGACCTCAGGTCTAACGAGGCAGTCGTTTGTCACCTACAGTTATAATACGGTCGGCCGCTGTCTGCTTCTTCGTAAGTTTTTTTTTAATATTCTAGTTGTTATTAGAAAGAGGCCTTTTTCCATTTCCTATTTTGATTCCCTCTGTCACTTCTTACGACACCCACAGGACGTGCGGGTACGGGGTACTGAATATTACAACACCGCCCCCACACGGTCATGGCACTATGATGTACATATAATCACATACAGATAAATGTTCTAGTTGATCATACATACATATATTCATAGCTTCACGTTTGTTATCCCCGAGGCGTTTGATGAGTCACATACTCGAACTTTTTTAAATTTTAAATCTAAAAAAGTGTTACGTGGCAAAGAAGGCATATCCAATCAGTTGGCAAATTCTGTTTTTATTATTTGTCCCATAAAAACATGGGTCTTACAAAACTCATACCAGAATGGGACAGTCCCAGGCCAGCAAGGGATCACTTCTAGTATATTACTGTAGTTTGAATCGTGTATGAAGGCGACATTTTAAACTTTTATTTGAAAAGTGATGGTTTTTAGAATTCAAGACGCGTCCATTCCAACCACGAGAGAAAAAGAAAAAGCCTTGTGTAGTGACAGAAGAAATAGAAACACTTTCTCCTCAACCACAAAAGCTTGCTATGAAAGACACGGAGCTCATGAATGTGGCACGTGATATGTATGAGGGAGATGGAGAGAAACCTACGTTGGAGCCCTTGCCAACGCACTTTAGAAGTAAGTTTAAGTTATTGTCTTAATATAAGCAATCAAGTTTAAATATCTATTTAATAAAGTAATAAGTTGCTTGATAATAATTAAACTTGCATAATAGTAAAAACGGATTTTATACAACTAACAAGTGGTAAAATAAAAAATTTTGTACAACCGGCTTCAATACGACCGACTCAATGTATTTGAATTCAATTAAATACGCAATATTATATAAGATATTGGTCAGTTATTGATTCTCTTCTCTGATTTATCTGGGACCTCACGAGAAGCGCCAGCTTTCAGATAAAAAAGAATCATCAAAATCGGTTCACAACGAGAAAAGTAATGAGGTAACACACATAAAAAAAAAACGTACAGTCGAATTTTTACCTCCTCTTTTTGAAGTTGGTAAAAATATTATAATGTGCGAAATGAGACAAAGCGTTGAAGAAATATTCGCCTATATCTCGTGCAGACGTCTTTGCAAATTGAAAATGCATTTTGATGATTTTCTCATGGATCCCACCATCAGATATTAACCGGATTTATATGGGGCCACAACTGAAACCATTTCTATAAAAAAAATTAAAGATTCACTGAAATTCGGTAACGTGGTAAACAATAATTGGTGTTACAAAGGGAATTTAATTTGCATTCACGACTGTGCAAATTCATTATCCATTCCTCAAATGGAATGCCTCGTATACGGTAAAAAGGTTCTCCTGTTAACTATACTCACCATTCGAAACTCAGCAGTATTAAACTGCTACTTTACGCTGGTATTTTGTGAGAGCGTGGTCCTCCTCCTGAGCCATTCGTGCTACAGCCATAATATAGCTGCACAGTGGCACTACCATCTACTGTTATTACAGGGTTTCAATTTATGTATATGCTAAATAAGTTTCGGTGTTTTGCCTACAATAATGTGATCCGCTGCTACATTTTGCGGAAGTTTCATATAAACATAATAATATTAATTCTATAAAACTGTTTCACATTCACGCAATCGATTCTACGGATTGACGCGTGTTCATTGGTAAGTACGTCATTAGTGTTATGTATATTAACATAGGAGTTTGCAAGGAAATTGTTTGAAGTGTAGTCACGGTGTAATATCCACTAACCCATATCGTCCCGTAGGTGACGTAAGAGACGATAGAAGAAAACTGATACAGGAGTAGCCGACATCACCTTCCTGATAACAACTCAAAATAATTGAAAATTGCGGTTGCCAATCCGATTGCCAAGCAGTGGACTTTTGTGGGTTGTAAGGAGTGAATAGATGTTTTTTTTAATGTACAATAAGGGTGACAAACGAGCACACAGTCCACCTTATAGTATATGGATGCTGTGGCCCATAGTCATCTACGTACCTGTACTACGTACTACTAACGTACTATACTAGTACTACGCAGATGCGTTGTCACCCCTGAGGACTACGATGGAATGCCTCGTTTCCAGTAAAAAAGGGTCTCCGGATCTCTATACTCACCATACGAAACACAGCAGCATTAAGCTGCTATTTTACGTCGGATGAGTTCTAGAACCATATATATATTGGTTCTAGAACTCAATATAGTTACATAGTATATAGTTATATAGTTACAGCGTGGCTCTACCACGTGTAAAATGATGGATGGAATTAGATTGTAAAAGAAAACCTTCTCTATATGTGAAATAAAAAAAAATGGATGAGATGTGAAATGAAAAGACCGCCAACACATTGGGAGTACCTTATCGTAGCGCGACTCTTTATTATAAACACTTTCAAAAATGAGACGAGGCCTGTGCCCATTTGTTGGACGTTATTTGGCTATTAACTTACTTGTTTGTGAAGTTGGCATTCATAGCTTTATAATATTTGACATTTTCGAATAAAAAAAAAACATTATTTTTAATTTACTAATTCTGAAATATCTACTAACTTTTCAACGAATTACAGGTTAAAAATTATTTGTTATCTGGCTTTATTTATCAACAAGCCTTTCCATAAATATGAACTGGATATGTCACCGGTAACACAGTGAATTAATTTAAAAGATATCGATGACCGCGGCAAGAGCGCGACAACAGCTTTGCTGTCCGCAAGGGAAAATTTGACACACCATGGATAATTTTGTACATTATATGTAAATTTATCGATGTACGCACTTGTTCTTTACGTTCGCATAAGTCTTCCCTACTCCTATTTATCTCGAAACATGGCGCTCGACTGGCAAATTTGCCTTTTAAATTATTATTGAGACACAATCACGACGCCTAAATTAAAAAAAAGCAATAAATTGCGTTTTTGGAACGTTCATTCCTGCAGGGATTCGAGCCCAAGATTAGCGAGTAGTGCAAGCAACACTACGCACTAGTAATACGTTGTTAATTAACTCTTATGTTAACTTACTGTTATTTGATACTTTCCTTCGATGACAGAATATACTACCTAAATACACTAGTTTTGGAGTAGCCAACCGTACTCCAAAACCTTCACTTTTCTTACTCTTATTTAAAAAAGAACGTTAATTCCATACTAGGAATTTCTCCTATATCGTGGAGGCATTTTAGAAACATGCATTGAACATTTAGACCCGGAACAGTTATTTATAGGCCATACAACCCTAGGGCATACAACAATATGGGATTCGAACCCGCGGCCCTGAGCGCTTTAACTCATTGCTAAGCTACTGCACCACGGGGTTATTTGCTTATGTATTATATACTTTATAATTATTGTATTATATTTATAATATAATAATACAATAATTATAAAGTTATATATATATAATCGGAATCTCGGGAACTTAGATTTTCATATATATTTATGTAGGGGTTTCGGGGGCAATATATCATCTATATTATTTTTGAAAATTTTTCCGTGTTTTAGGAATAAAAAAACTGCTACTATATAAGAAGGTAAATTTTGTCACATCACTAACGATGGTATTAGCTCAGATGGAATGTTGTTCGGGATGGAGTTTTCTTGGGTGACTTTTCTTTTTTTTTTCAAGTTCCCTTCTTTTGTGAGAAAATCTATTATTTCGAGCCCTTTTTTTAGTATTTTTTAAAAATACGAAAATTTTAATTAAACTAATTGCACTCATGATTTTTTTATTCAAATAACCAGTTCAGTTTTTTCTATTATGTCAATAAGATCAAAAACTATTATTCATGTAATTTGTATATAAATAACTTAAAAAAACCGAGCAAAGCTTGGTCATCCGGGTACTATATATATATATATACATATATATATATACATATACATACATATACATATATATATATATATATACATATACATACATATATACATATATATATACATACACATATATATATATATATATATATATATATATGTATATGTATGTATATGTGTATATATAGTACCCGGATGACCAAGCTTTGCTCGGTGTTTTTTTAAGTTATTTATATATTTTAAGTTTTTTTTTTTCAAGTTCCCTTCTTTTGTGAGAAAATCTATTATTTCGAGCCCTTTTTTTAGTATTTTTTTAAAAATACGAAAATTTTAATTAAACTAATTGCACTCATGATTTTTTATTCAAATAACCAGTTCAGTTTTTTCTATTATGTCAATAAGATCAAAAACTATTATTCATGTAATTTGTATATAAATGTAACTTAAAAAAACCGAGCAAAGCTTGGTCATCCGGGTACTATATATATATATATATATATATATATATATATATATATATATATATATGTATATATATATAACCTTTATAAATAGAACAACATAGGGCGGATTTAATGTTTAACGGCATAGAATTACTGGGCTTAGAACCGCAGCAGGTGCACGCAAAGTGAAGCCGTTTCAAGTTAGCTAAGCACGACTTTCAGCGTGTCAGTAGTCGAGTCCACGTAGTCGTGTAAAGAGCTCGCGCCATTTTGCAAAAAAATCAACTTATTCATCAAAAGAAAATAATAAATCTTAAATTTGACAGACGCCAATATAATGAAAATGTTGTTCATCATCATCATCATCATCATCATCACAGCCCTTCACAAGTCCACTGCTGAACATAGGCCTCCCCCAAGTAATGCCACAAAGCACGGTCCTGAACCACCTGCATCCATCGACTTCCTGCATATCTTACCAGGTCGTCACTCCATCTAGTGGGGGGTCGCCCTACACTACGCCTACCGGTACGAGGCTGCCACTCGAGAACCTTTCTTCCCCATCGGTTATCGGTTCTTCGAGCTATATGGCCGGCCCATTGCCACTTCAGCTTACTAATCCGTTGGGCTATGTCGGTCACTCTGGTTTTACTGCGGATATCCTCATTTCTGAGTCTATCACGCAGAGAAACTCCGAGCATAGCCCTCTCCATAGCTCGCTGAGCGACCTTGAGCGTCCTCATACGGCCAGCAGTGAAGGACCACGTCTCTGAACCGTAAGTCATCACTGGCAACACGCACTGGTTGTACACTTTAGTTTTCAGAGATTGAGGTATACCTGACGAGAAGATGTGTCGTAATTTCCCGAACGCTGCCCAGCCGAGTTGAATCCGTCGATTGACCTCTCGGTCGAAGTTGCCGTGTAGTGGCGGTTAAGAATATCCACTACCCCATATCTTCCCGTGGGTGTCGTAAAAGGCGACAGAGGGACACAGAAAGGAGATGGGCAGCAGCATCTTCCTGATAATAGCAACTGTACGACAAAAAAAACTGCGGTTGCCAACCCGCTCGCCAAGCGTGGCAACTATGGCAATATACCCCCCATGAACAATTACACAAATAGACGGCCCCCAGTCCCCGGCGGCCCCGCTATTCCTGGCTACGGTGGCGACCATGGTAACGGCGGGGCAGGGGGTGCTAAGAATCTCCGGTGGAGGTTCGGTTGCCACCTACGACGACTCGACCTGGCAACATTTAACGCACGCACACTGAGGACTGACGAGAAGATCCTGGAGCTGGAAGAAGAGATAGACAAGTTGCGCTGGAGTATTATAGGATTATCCGAGGTCCGAAGAGAGGGGGAGGACACGGTGATTCTCGAATCCGGCAACTTGTTCTATCACCGGGAGGGCGACCATCTGTCCCAAGGAGGTGTCGGATTTATCGTCCACAAGTCTCTCGTCAACAACGTTGTAAAGATTGGGAGTGTGTCGACGAGGGTCGCGTACCTGATACTCAGAATCACCAAACGGTATTCGCTGAAGGTCATACAGGTTTACGCACCAACCTCGGCACATCCCGATGAGGAGGTGGAGGAAATGTATGAGGATATTTCCAGAGCCATGCATTCCTCCAAAACCCACTACACGGTGTTGATGGGAGACTTCAACGCAAAACTAGGCACAAGAGAAAGCGGTGAGCTGAAGGTGGGGAAATTTGGAGTAGGGCAACGGAACCGAAGGGGCCAGCAGCTGGCCGACTTTATGGAGAAAGAGGGACTCTTTATGATGAACTCTTTCTTCCAGAAGCGGCCCCACAGGTAGTGGACCTGGTCGAGCCCCGACGGTTCGACAAAAAATGAGATTGACTTCATTATGACGACCAGACGCCAACTGTTCAGTGATGTCTCAGTGATCGCAAGGGTGAAAACTGGCAGCGATCACCGAATGGTTAGAGGCACACTGAACCTAAACGTTAAGTTGGAGAGGTCTCGTCTAATGAAGTCAACGCTCCGTCCCCCTCGTGCTCTAATTCAAAATCCCGAAAACTTTCAGCTCGAGTTACACAACCGCTTTCAGTGCCTACAAGATTGCAATGCAGTGGACGATGTGAATGACAAGCTCGTGGAAACTGTCCATGCGGTCGGAGCTAAGTTCTGCAAGACCCGCCGCAGAAGAACACAAAAACTGATATACTGATATACCACGTGCTCGGCGGTGAAGGAAAACATCGTGAGGAAACCTGCATGTCTGAGGAATGGGAGGGGAAGGTGTTTCGAGGACATGTGAAGTTCGTCAGCACGCATTTGGGCAGCGCGGCGGACACTTCCTTGCCCTAAACCCTCTCAGAAATGAGGGGAGGCCTGAGCCCAGCAGTGGGACGTATATAGGCTGTAACATAACTTAACTTAACAACAGTGGTGTATTAAATTATGGTAAAGACAATAGTTAACGTTTAGCCAAAATAGCACAAAATTATTTATTTTGTTTTAATGAAGTGAAGTTGATAATAACGTGAATATTATTGCCAATTTAAACGTATTCGTTTTTAGATTTTCGTCTCGTCCGACTGTTGCTGCTCAACACAGACCACCCCGCCTACAAGACATGAAACCATTACGATTTTCTAATTAAATTAGTCTGTCAAGGTTAGAAGAAAGAAAGGTGTGCGGGTGGCGCGTGAGATGTAACTTAGAGTGTGTCACATCCATAAATCGTACGCGTAAATATGGGAGACTATGAAAACGTAAAGTAATTATAAACAAATTAATGATGCGTAAAATACATCGTTATAACAAGTAAAGTTCTTTAAAATATATGCATGTATTTTACATGTCATTTACAACGCTAATCACTTAACATAAATCCGTTAAGAGCGGAATGTGCCTAAGAAATACACAAACATAATACATACTCTCGAAATCGATGACTTTGTTTCGGCCTCGGCCGCGACGATTTCAAATTATAATTACATATAGATTAATATACACCAATATAATAGTATGACTGTTCGTCTACACAAAAAATAATAACAGAATAAATAGTCGATAAACTTGCATCGATACTTTTTGGACATTTCTACTTACACGTGCCGCCTGCAGCCCCTCTGATTGATAGACAGAGACGCAACTATAATACTGAGTGCTTGACAAGGACAACCTCAGAACTACGACCAGAACACGTTGAACCCTCACGGTTTTAGTATTTCAAGATTATTAAATAATGCATTTATCGGTGAAACGTGACTTTATCCTTCTTGAAATTATGTTTCCTGCTATCAATATCACACTACTTTACTGCGCAAGTGGGCATGTTTTACTGTTTTAATTTAAAAAAAAATTGTAGTGCTAAGGACGCAGTGCACAGGTCTGTTGTCTGGTCACTACTAAACAGGGTAGCGTTCGTGTTCAACTGTATAGGCTCTGGTGGAGCAGATGAAGTACAGAAATTTGTCGCCTTTCTTTACATGTCTCGTAGGCTAGGTGGTCTGTGCTGCTCAATGATTTGAAAAATGAGAATTAATCGCAAAGAAAACTAACGAAAACTAACTAATTTACGTTTCTAATGTAGTTTACTCCAATTGTAATGTTGAAAATTTCTAATGAAGTTTACTCCATTTGTAGTATTGCTGAAAATAATCTGCGAAATCATATTAAGCATAATGCACAGGAAAACAATTCAGAGAAAGAGCTATCTCTCGAAGTTATTGCCAAACTCGTTGGTTGTTCTCTATTTCCTATTGTAGAAGAGCACATCAATTCGCAACATCACGACACAAATCTGGCGCGGCTTATTGTAGAACGTTATGTAAGAGTTCGATTCTTATATGAATCCAAAAAAGATAATATTTCGCGGATAGCGTCATCAAAGCGGCAGTTATTTAGAAAACAGTTGCAGATGCATTGTTATTACTTATTAAGTAAAAGACGTTTAGTTTAAGTACTTGGATATACAATATGTAACGTAATTACCGCATACCCTCAGACACCCTAATTAGTATATTATGTTATAATCATAATACATACACTGAATTTTTAGTTAAACATTTTTATGCACTGATTATTTATCAAATTAGTTATACTAATTTCAAAAGAATGTTGTGGTCACAGTACAAATCCACGAACGCAAAGACTTAACGTGCTTGAAATAAAGTTCATTTTTCTTCATTTTTATTGAATAACAGAATTAGTAATAATACAAATAAAACTGAACTCTTAAAAGTGTTATTGCCTTAAGTTAAGGTCCATTTCAGTTTGTTTTGACTGTACAGATTTAGTGTGACCGTAATTTACGTAGTTTTAATTATTTTTGGGATAAAAAATTACCTATATTAAAAATGATAGGAATCGATTCAGTAAACGATTCTGAACAAACTACTTTCTCAAAGTGCGTTAATTATGTTACGTGTTGTATAGTTATTTAATAAATATTTTTAGTTTCGTGTTTTATTTGAATAGTTTTTCTCCTTCCGAATCTTATTTTGTTTTAATACAAAACGCCTATTCAAAAAAGTATATCATATATTTATATAAATATATAATACTATATACTTATATAAATATATCTCTTCTAACGGAATAATATAATGACATAATAGATTTGTGAATATTATTATAGCGTGTGATATTACGTATATAAATAATTTTAATAAAATATTAGTTAACAAATATAAGTAATTTTATATTTCTCTCTTTGTAAGTTATTAATAAATAATTCTATACGCAATCTAAATATAAATTTTAAGACTATGTCTACTATTACACTTTGCCCATTTTTTGGGGAAATCGTCATTTACTTGCATACATTACTCATTTGCTTGTGTGCGTACGGGCAAACGTAATTACAGGCCGCTTATGCACACATTCATTGTGTTGTTGCTTCAACTTTGAACGGAATTTTGAATGACACTATCACTCTAAGTCTAACGGCATCTCTGAAAGTCAACCCGTGGAGCGACGAAATATTGTAGTAGCTGTAGTTACATATATATTTACTATGATAAGCATATAAATACAAAAACATGTTAAATATATTACTAGGTTTCGCGATTTCGTTCGCATCGAATTGGTACATTTGAGATGATAAGTGATGATGATTTATATGAATTTTTTATTGTTGCGAAGATCTAGAGAGAAACTTATATGTATAAAATCATTTAGTTGGCCAGTCATCATATTACATTATACATAACTTTAAAATATATAGATATATACTTACTACCATTATTTAATTTTGTTGAACATTTTTTTTCTACATATTATGGTATCTAAACTACAAAACCTAAAATGAGAGGCATGTTGCCAGTAGTAGGCGGCATAGAAGCCGCTAATTAATAATGCTCATTTACAATACCTTTCATACTATATTTCTTAGTTAGTCTATTTCAAACTATCTCGAGAGGCGGAAAAAAAATTACCAAAAAATTCGAATCCATTTACTTTTGTCATTATTTTGAAATAATAATAACAAAGATAGTTGAAAATTACATACACAAATGTATTCAAACATTTGTGTGTGTGTAATTTTCAACTATCTTTGTTGGCATTTTGTCATTGTACTTGGCCTTTTCTCTTTCGTGCTATTTGTGTCTTTGTGTTTACTAAGATTCAATACTGTATATTTCTTAAAATAAAATGATAGAATGTAAACCAAAAGTAAAGTAGTGTAGACTTATTCGTTAATTTTCCCCAGTTCTGGGATACGTACGCCCCTGTTACTTCAACACCGGCAGAACAGACTACCAGGAGGGCATAGCGCGTCTGGCGTACGAGCTGGTGCGAGACGACAGAATACCGCAGTACCACGCGCACAATGGTTGTCGACCGCGGTGGGGCCTTCCACCGGAAGGGATACGCCAACCCGAGCTTGATATAGTGCCGTTCAACCAAGAAAGACTTTACTGATAACATTGGTGAAATAAACATATCTCATCGGAATTTATGTTTTGTTTTGGAATAAAGTATATCCTTGATCAGCAACTCCTAAGACAGAGAAACACCTCATAAACACACATTCTCACACACCAACGTAAAACAGTAGAGTAATGCGTATAAGAACTGTAGAGACTTTTTCTGGTAACGTTACATTCTTAAAGTTAAAGATTAAAGATTCATTATACGTGGTAGAGCCACGATGCAGCTATATTATAGTTGTAGCACGAATGGGTCGGCTCGACCGGGGAAGGACCACGCTCTCACAGTACCAGCATAAAATAGTAGCTTAAGGCTCCTACAATGATCAGTAACATTGACGATTTAGACTTTGTTTAAATTTAGCGACATCTACCAAAAGCAGACGTACTGCAATGGCACTACGTAAATAGTAGACAAAGATTAACGATGTATAGATAATATGACAACTTATTTGCATAATTTTTTTCGATCTCTAAGAGACCTAGTGGTGAATTGACGTATTATTCACTTTAGACCTTGTAACTATATTCACTCCCATGTTCAGCACGGATGTTTTGTGAACTGCCGTGTTTCGTATGGTGAGTGTTGAGAACCGGAGATCCTTTTTTTACTGGAAACGAGACATTCCATATTAGTCCTCACGGGTGACATCGCATCTGCATTTTGATTGGTAATCGAGGATAAATGTAGAAGTCTATGTGCCACAGCATCCACTTACCATTAGGTGGACTGTGTGCTCGTTTCTCACTTTAATTCTGTAAAAAGTAATAATACTCTTCGTCTTAACCCGTAAACCGTAATGTAGAAGCGAGTGCACTGCTGATTAGAGGGAGAAATAAGTGATGCCATTTCATTTGTCCAATGATCCCAACATTCACTTCCTATCTGGCGGATTGTCTAATCATTTATCGTCCGCAAATAAGTAAAAATACAGTTAGCAGCAGGACTTTTTAAAAAACGAGAATATCCTAGTGTGGGGGTAACGTTTTTAAGAAAAAATGGTAAGTGGATGCTATGGCCTATAGAAATCTATATAAAAATCAAAAGATTCAAAGACATACAGAGCACATACAGAGCTGTAACAATTGCTTGTAAGCCTCACAAATACTTGTTCCGTGCGGGATTCGAACCCGTAGTCCTCAACGCCGCTTCTAAATGCCAAGCTACTGCACCAAGGAGCCGTCCAATTCCCACTCAAATCTTAATAGGTTTGTTGACATTGAGCCATGCGGAGAAAATTGAGAAACAAAACACCGAAATATGATTAACACACACTGCACCACTTAATGCAATATCATAAAACACAATTACCAATAACATATTTCTTACAAAGCCATTTAAACGAATTTGTAATTAGCTGTGTGAAATCGAATCATCACAAACAGATGGGGGGGTTCTAATTTCCATCGAACAAAAGACTGTAAACTTCCAATTAAACATCTGTCTGTCATTTCAAGCAAGAGAAAGCAAGAACAGATCAAGCGTTTGCTACCAAACACAAAGATGCAATCTGTCCAACAATAATGGGCACAACATGAAAAGCACTTGGCTCCTTGCCAGGATGTGCACAAGGGACCTACAGCCCTTTGTTGTCCGCTACATTGTAGTGATGCGAACTGAACGTAAAACACGCTTATCGATAAATATATCAATCATCATCATAATTAGCCTGTTGCAGTCAACTGCTGACCTTGGCCTCTCCCAAGACGCGTCACAAAGCTTAGTCTATATATCAATATCGAATGCTGTATTAATAATAGTGATTGTAATTAATGCTGGGTTAAAACGAAATTTTATACTTCTTTGTTAGGGTTTCGCTGTAGGTGTTCATGGGCTGCAGAGTTGGATTGTTGGTTGGATTGAGATCGTAAACTTGTTTATTACTCTAATATAACTAATAATTAGCTTATTATAAACGATATATGATTTTTTTGCATTCCGTATGCTTATAACCGATTATTAACTTGAATATTGTAACTTCCCATTAAATGAACTGTACATTTCTTTTAAAAATAAATGTCTATTACCATAACCATATATATTCTGAAGATTATTTTCAGCAGTTCATATTTTCTTACATAATTTTCTATGGAATTCAAGATTTCTTAATATCTAGTATTTTATGGGCTTTATGTTAGTCAATATATCGATTCGTTGCGCTATAAAATAAAAAAAACAATGTTTTTACTTCGGATATCAAGGATTTCAAGAGAAAAACACAACAGATCAGTAAACCGAAAAGGCAATGGGGTAGCTAGTCATATATGTAGCTCGACAAACTTAGATCTAATAACTGTTGAGGACGAAAGATTCTCGATAGAATATAGCAGCAGTAGGTAGCATACCTGTAAGCGAACTGTAGCCCCGATTTGAAAGATGTTTATCCTTTTATTAAACTAAATAAATACATTTTCTTGCGTTAACGCTGCACCATTTTCTTTTTTTTTTTAATTTAATCTATAATAATTATATGTCGTCAAGAAATTGGTGCGGTTGGAATTTGCTTAGTGTTTTAGAAGTACTTAAAACTCTGGATCTTAATCTCATAATCTCTGGATGTGAAGTATTTGAAACTCACTAAGCATAAGAACTATTAACCACAACTGGAAATTCAGTACAGGTTTGCGGGACACGTAATAATATAACAATACAAATGAGATAAACACAAAGTACATAGCGTGATTTCTGATTGGAGACTTATCTCTTATTATCTTATCTCTTTTTTTATATGGAATATGGATGACAAGCGAGCACATAGTCCACATGACGTAAGTGGATGCTGTGGTACATAGACATCTACATCTGTCATCATTTACGAATCATAATGCAGATGCGTTGTCACCCCTGTGGACTAAGATGGAATGCCTCGTAACCAGTAAAAAGAATCCCCAGTTCTCTACTCACCGTACGAAACATAGCAGCATCAAGCTATTATTTTACGCTGGTATTCTGTGAGAGCGTGTTACTTCCCCTGTTGAGCAAACCCATTCGTGCTACAACTATAATGTAGCTGTAGCATAGCTCTACCACGTACAATATTAAAAGAAAGGCCTTTATTATGTTTCGAGAACACTCGTCATTCCCAAACATTTTTTCAAGATTTAGTCGTGGTGAGTGTGTAACTCACCACATAAGACAGGCGGAAGGGATTTGGGTTTAGTACAGTTGGGTTGTAATGCCTCTTAGCCTAATATTAGAACTGGCTCTGTATTTCCTTCAAGCAATTAATATTGTAAACCTCTCGTAAACGAGATGGCTACACCGCCATCTACCGGTGGCCATAAGAAATTTCTGCCATTCCGCACAGTTATCTGTTTCAACACTTATGAGAGAAAATAGTGTGGTATACATTCTTACGCCGCTGCCACACGGTAGCTGGATTTTAAGTAAATGTTATTACTAACATAATTAAAAATGCTAAATTATTTCGTATGGGAAAATTTAAATGAAAATTGTACAAAAAAATTTTAATTAATCATGTTTGCCCATACTTTTAACCTATGCTTGCCTACCTTACCTAAACTAGCTTCTTCTGGCTAATCTGTGGTTTAGGGTACCGTTTGGTTTGGGCACCTGGATCTAGCCACTGTGATAATTAGCTGCAATTGTCGTATAGGATCCACTTCTTATTGCAGGTTACAATTTGACTCAAAATTCTCTCCTTTCTGTGCTGATTTAGCAATATGATGCAACCTTGAACGCGGGCCTTTCGTTGTACGTTACCCAGTTTGTGAAGTACACATTCGTCACACTTCTTTATTTGACCGATTTGCCAAATTAATTAAGTAATATTGGTTGAATACACTTAAAACCGATGACGCCCTAGCTTAATTGAAGTTTGAGATTAACCGCTTATTTACCGGACGGACACAAAGTTCATTTGTGAAGTCGTAATCGAACGATATCGATTAGATCAATAAAGCACAACTTGTTCGTTAGTTAAATTCGTATGTGTTATTGATATTGCCTTCAATTTGAGACATTTTTCATTATTCAGAGTTCATTTTTTTCATGTCGTAACTTATATTTAAAAATAACACTAATTTCCTTAGTGGCCATGGTTATAAATGTGGCGATATTACAGAAAAAAACCTTAACATGGCTGAAATATAAAATGCATTTGAATTTAGTATTTCAAGTCAAACCTAAGCTATAACCATTTCTTTACTCACTCTTTTCTATACCGATACTACTCTTTTTCTATCTACGTACATCCATCTTTTCTTAGGCCTCCATCTTGTTACATGGTTTGCTTCTCTTTGCTAAATATGCCCATACCATGCTAGTCTTCCACTTTTTTATAGAATAAGAGTGACAAACGAGCACACAGTCCACCTGATGGTAAGTGGATGCTGTGGCCCATAGACTTCTATATTTATCCTCTATTAAGAATCAAAACGCAGATGCGTTGTCACCCCTGAAGACTAAGTCCATCTTAGTCCTCGTTTCCGGTAAAGAATCTCTGGATCTTTACACTCACCATACGAAACACAGCAGTATGAAGCTGCAATTATAAATTTATTTGGTAAAGGTATTTTGTAAGAGGAGGTCCTTCCACGGTCGAACCGAATCATTCGTGCTGCAACCATAATATAGATGCAGCGTCGCTCTACCACGTAGGTGTACCACTTCTCAATTTTGGCGTCATTTTCAAACTAAGTAAAGATATAAATACTTAGGTATATTAGCATTTCATCGATATTTTACTTATATCGATAAAATGCCAACACTTTAAAAAGAAACAATATTTAATGATCCGATGAGTATTGCCGCTTTTACAAAGTACTTTCCGGAAAAGTTATTGGCCAATATCGAATTTCCGCGTATAACCCCCGAGACATATTTTTTTCTGTATAACGCGCGGTGACTACGTGTAAATGGATTTTATTTCATTTTAAAAACATAACATCCACGTAATAACCTGCTTTAGGGTTCGAAAGCCCTAAGCTAATTATGAACATGCGCCCCCCACCCTCGAGCTGTTCTGCTTG